AGGCATGTTCAGTGTCTAACTACATAGTATTTTCCTGCATTATTGTGACCATTTTTTATTAGGGTAACTTCATTACAGTTGGAGTTATGGAATATAATTGACAGCTTGAGGTGTATGAAAATAAACGTTCGATAAAAAAATTAAACACGGGTGTGTATTTCTCAACTGCTCTCCTGGACTGTTTCTTTGTAAACTGGCGTGTGCTATGTCAAATGTGTCCTAAGCTGGATTAGTGGTGGCTGCTGACGCACAGACAGGATATTTAAATCTGAATGTTTTTAGTTACCAATATTTAAAATTTTGAGAATTATAGGGCAGTATATTGTTCAGTATAATTCCCCCATTCTCTCCACATAGTTTGGGGTCCTCACTATTATCACACAGAATTCAAAGGATATTGATTAAAAATTAATCTCAAAAGCCTATCACAGCCTTCGGGAATGCATTTAAAATTTTTGCATCTTACAGAAATAAAACTTTTCCACAAAATAAGTAAAACGTAATATTAGCTGATTAAATGTAGTGTCACATCAGAATTTTGGGTTTGTTTTGAAAGAATAAAGACATACTATGATATAGAATATTACTGACAGGTGATGCCGTACAGGGAATAACAAGTGAAGAAGCAGAGAGACTACTGGATAGACTTGCAGTGGAAGGGAGAATACAATAAACCATGGGAGCAGAGGACTAGGAACTTTTGGCCAGGGGAGCAAACATAGTCAAAACAGGTGACAGTGGTAAAAGGGCAGTGTTCGAAAAAAAGCATGGATAATTGCTTTAAACCTGATAACAATAAGTAATTGTAGCCCAGTGCTGGTCAACCTACCTGTGCCATCACAAGATATTCATAATCAGAACTATGTTAACCTAATGTCCCCTCTAGTGTTTACTTGTAATAGTGATATTGTGTTCAGGGGCACCGAGAAGAGGAGGATCTAACAAAGAGTGGGGGCTTGCGGGGCATGTAGTCCAGAAGGCTGAGACTTGTAAGGAGCTGATACTGCTGTGGACTACAGGTTCTGGCCATTTGGAGGAAAAGTAAATGTTGGGAGAGGATATATATTTCAGCCTCTGGACAATGCACTTCCTCTTGGGACATTGGGCTGAAGCTGTAAACAGAGACCCGGCTGCTGTGAGAGTTGAGAAGGCCATGTGGTCTGGGCAGCGCAGAGTCTTTGGCATGTGAGCTACAGACCAGTCAGCAGATTATCCATCCACAGCTTCCCATTGGCAGAGTTGACTAATCCGAGACATAGGCCTCGTCACCATCTCAGCCACAGGAAAAAATCCCAGTGTCACAAGACACTAGGCTGAGTTTCCCACGCTGGTTGCAGATTCTACAGGAGTTTTCTGGGACATCCTGGATCCCTTAAGCCATGGTATCATCAGGATTGGTGAGTGGGCAAAAACCCTCATTGTGTACACTCTTAAGGGACACTGCATGCAGACACCTTTTATACCACCCACTTTCTTACAAGTTTGTGAACTTTACCTGGAATCATCTATCCCAAAATATCTATGATTGCTGGTCATCATTGCACAGCAATTCTTTTGGGTCTCTACTGAGTTAGCTGAAAACCCAGGACATTCTTTCTACCAAGACTCTCTTTGACACTCCTCAAGCCCAAGGATTCTTTGCATATGTTAAAGGGGGATTCTGTTTAGGATTGTTTATAGCATAGCTCGTACATTCAACTTACAGAGTGTGCTGTCGTCCAGGACCTGTAGCATCAGGACTCTAAGGGAGCAGGCTGGCATCATAAAGTGTCAAAGCCTGGGATTGAACCTGGTCCTTCTGCAGTGGGAGACAATTTCTCACTGAGCTATCTGGGAATGCTGTACAGCTCCCTTGACAATTCTTGGATAATCCTGCCTTGTGCCTTGATTTCTCTTGAACCTTGAACTCCTTGCTCCTCCCATGAACTTCCTTATAAAAGCCATGTCCATGCACTTCCTCCTTGCCAGATTATTGTGCCTTACCAGCCAATATCCTGCTTACTGGTCCTGCTGCTGTCTTCATCAACGTTACCAACCTTTGGCTTGCTACTGACTACGATTCTGCCTCATCATATCTACTACTATTGGTGACCGACCCTTGGCTTGTGACTGACTCCGCTTCTGTTTGATCCCTGAACTGTTTGATCCGCTTTTGGTTTCCAGCCTACTCATTCCCTGGTGGGGTGATCCTGAGATCTGTTTGTGTCAGGAATGGACTGGCCAGCAATAGTGGGACTCACCTGCCTTATGAGCTGCAGTACCAGGGCTGGCCAGCGGGTGCTCCCAGCAATCAGAGACTCAACCTTGCAGCCAGTCAAACACCTGGAACTAATTATACTGGTGTATTTAAGGGACATTCAGACCTGCAGACTCTGCCTTGGTGTTGTGTTTCTCCTGGGCCCTGTATCCTGTTCCTGCTCCCTGTTCCTGTCTGATTCTCTGCTGACCCTGCTCTGATCCCTGGCTTGTCTGACCATTCTCCTGCTCCTGATCCCTGGCTTGTCTGACCATTCTCCTCTGCCTGACCCACTGTACCATGCTGCCCGCTACCTGCTGAACCTGGCCTGTGACCCCGACCATTCTCCGCTTGCTCCCCCTGTACCTACCTGCCCGATTGATATTGACCCGGCCTGCCTGATGACGCTTGCATTGTATGTACTGTTATCTGTGGGTGGTTTGGTTCGTTTGCACTGTGTTATGTTTTAGTATTGCACTGCGTTTATGTTTGTATTGTTAGTGTTAATAAATTATATTGTTTTATAACATATCTGAAGTCTGCGTTTCCCTGCGTCAGTCACACACCTCTGGTCATACCCGGGAGCCCTGACATTACACCAAGGCCAATCCTGACCAGAAGTGGCTGCACAGGGAAGCCATCTTGGTTTGTTGATGGGAAGGATGGATCTTGATGAGGTTGTGTATTTATATCTGCTAGTGTTTGATGACAGGGAGTATGCTTATCAAACTCTGAAGGAGTATCCCCGGGATGAACTGCTAGAATGTATACGGCTCGCTCATGTTCTAGTAGATCAGGGCACAGAGTTCTCTGAGGTGCAGCCATTGATTCAGATCTGTGCGGAGTTGGTTTCATCTGGTTCCCCCGAATGCAGGGATGAATTTTTGCCGCCATTTAGTGCCGACCAGGTAGAGTCCCTGGTATGGTTATTAGAGGATGATGTGGATTGCTTCTTGGAGCATTATGCTACATGTTCACCACAGATACTAAGAGATTGTATAAACGCAGTGCAGTCTTTAGTCAGACAGGCTTTGTGTAAGCTCAGCTTTGTTCAACCCATACTGCAGACATGGACAGATTTGTTGCACCCAACCTCAGTCAGCTTACAAAGACCCAGTCCTGCTTCTAATCTATTTCCTCAAAGCTCTATTCCTGCATTCCCAACAGCTCCTCCTGCCCTGCTATCTACCGCATGTCAGTACCCTGGTCCCACTCGCTGCACCTATCCTGCCTTTAACCCTGTAAAAAAGCCCTCTGTAGCAACTGTTCCCTCCTCTGTTCCATCCTCCAGCTCTTCTCTGTCTCCAGCTGCTCCATTCGTTTGCAGACCTGCGTTTACTTGCAGTGCTCCAGTAGTTAAAACCAGAAAAAAGCGAAAATTCTTTCCAACCAATACCATCCTGCCAGTATCCAAACCGGTGAACCTGCCTTCCGTGGTTCAGCCTGATGCCTGTACTCAGCCTGATGCCTGTACGCAGCCTGATGCCTCTCTTCAGCCTGATGCCTCTACTCAGCCTGATGCCTCTACTCAGCCTGATGCCTTTACTCAGCCGGATGCCTGCATTCAGCCTGATGCCGCTACCCAGCATGATGAACTGATCCAGCCTGACGATCCTATTAGGCCAGTTGACTCGATGCCCGCTGTTGATCCAGATGATCCGGTACCTGATCCGGTGCCCGCTGTCGTGCCAATTGACTCAGAGCCCGCTGTCGTACCTGGTGACTCGGTGCCCACTGCCTTGCCGGATGACGCGGTGCCCGCTGGCGAGCCAAATGACCTGATGCCTGGTGACCCAGTGCCCGCTGTCATACCTGGTGACCCGATGCCCGCTGTCGAGCCAGACAATCCGGTACCTGATGACCCGGTGCCCGCTGTCATGCCAGTTGACTCAGAGCCCGCTGTCGTGCCTGGTGACTCGGTGCCCACTGCCTTGTCAGATGACGCGGTGCCCGCTGGCGAGCTAAATGACCTGATGCCTGGTGACCCAGTGCCCGCTGTCATACCTGGTGACCCGATGCCCACTGCCGAGCCAGACGATCCAATGCCTGGTGACCCGGTGCCCACTGCCTTGCCGGATGACGCGTGCCCGCTGGCGAGCCAAATGACCTGATGCCTGGTGACCCAGTGTGCCCGCTGTCATACCTGGTGACCCGATGCCCGCTGTTGAGCCAGACAATCCGGTACCTGATGACCCAGAGCCCGCTGTCGTGCCTGGTGATTCGGTGCCCACTGTCGTGCCTGGTGATTCGGTGCCCGCAGTCTTGCCAGACGACTCGGTGCCCGCAGTCTTGCCAGGCGACTCGGTGCCCGCTGTTCCGCCAGTTGACTCGATGCCCGCTGTTCCGCCAGTTGACTCGATGCCCGCTGTTCCGCCAGACGACTCGGTGCCCGCAGTCTTGCCAGACGACTCGGTGCCTGCAGTCTTGCCAGACGACTCGGTGCCCGCAGTCTTGCCAGACGACTCAGTGCCCGCAGTCTTGCCAGACGACTCGAAGCCCGCTGTTCCGCCAGTTGACTCGATGCCCGCTGTTCCGCCAGTTGACTCGGTGCCCGCAGTCTTGCCAGTTGACTCGGTGCCCGCAGTCTTGCCAGTTGACTCGGAGCCCACTGTCGTGCCTGGTGACTCGGTGCCCGCCGCTCCGCCTGGGGGCCCGAGACCTGACGCTCCGCCTGGGGGTCCGGCGCCCGCCGCTCCGCCTGGGGGCCTGAGACCTGTCGCTCCGCCTGGGGGCCTGAGACCTGTCGCTCCGCCTGCCTGAGACCTGTCGCTCCGGGGGGCCTGAGACCTGTCACTCCGCCTGGGGGTCCGGCGCCTGCCGCTCCGCCTGGGGGCCCGAGACCTGTCGCTCCGCCTGGGGGTCCGGCGCCCGCCGCTCTGCCTGGGGGCCCGAGACCTGTCGCTCCGCCTGGGGGCCCGGCGCCCGCCGCTCCGCCTGGGGGCCCAAGACCTGCCGCTCCACCTGGGGGCCCGAGACCTGTCGCTCCGCCTGGGGGTCCGGCCCGCCCGCCGCTCCGCCTGGGGGGCCCGCCGCTCGAGACCTGTCGCTCCGCCTGGGGGCCCGGCGCCCGCCGCTCCGCCTGGGGGCCCGAGACCTGTCGCCCGCCTGGGGGCCCGATGCCTGTCGCCCCGCCAGGGGACCCGATGCCTGTCGCCCCTCCTGGGGGCCCGATCCCTGTCGCCCCTCCGCCGGGGGGCCCGGTGCCTGTCGCACCGCCTGGGGGCCCGATGCCTGTCGCCCCGCCTGGGGGCCCGGTGCCTGCTGCTTCACCTGGTAATCCGATGTGCCTCTGCCCGGAGTCCAGCCCGATGTGCCTCTGCCCGAGTCCAGCCCGATGTGCCTCTGCCCGGAGTCCAGCCCGATGTGCCTCTGCCCGGAGTCCAGCCCGATGTGCCTCTGCCCGGAGTGCCTCTGCCCGGAGTCCAGCCCGATGTGCCTCTGCCCGGAGTCCAGCCCGATGTGCCTCTGCCCGGAGTCCAGCCCGATGTGCCTCTGCCCGGAGTCCAGCCCGATGTGCCTCTGCCCGGAGTCCAGCCCGATGTGCCTCTGCCCGGAGTCCAGCCCGATGTGCCTCTGCCCGGTGTGCTTCTGCCCGGTGTGCCTCTGCCCGGAGTCCAGCCCGATGTGCCTCTGCCCGGAGTCCAGCCTGATGTGCCTCTGCCCGCTGTGCTTCTGCCCGGTGTGCCTCTGCCCGGTGTGCCTCTGCCCGGTGTGCCCCTGCCCGGTGTGCCGCTGCCCGGAGTCCTGCCCGGTGTGCCGCTGCCCGGAGTCCTGCCCGGTGTGCCAGTCTTTGATATCCCGCCAGTTACCAGACCCGGGCGGTGGAACATTTTGCCCAGCTAGGACTGTTTGGAGCGTCCTGAGGCCGCTCCTTGAGGGGGGGGGTACTGTCAGGAATGGACTGGCCAGCAATAGTGGGACTCACCTGCCTTATGAGCTGCAGTACCAGGGCTGGCCAGCGGGTGCTCCCAGCAATCAGAGACTCAACCTTGCAGCCAGTCAAACACCTGGAACTAATTATACTGGTGTATTTAAGGGACATTCAGACCTGCAGACTCTGCCTTGGTGTTGTGTATCTCCTGGGCCCTGTATCCTGTTCCTGCTCCCTGTTCCTGTCTGATTCTCTGCTGACCCTGCTCTGATCCCTGGCTTGTCTGACCATTCTCCTGCTCCTGATCCCTGGCTTGTCTGACCATTCTCCTCTGCCTGACCCTCTGTACCACGCTGCCCGCTACCTGCTGAACCTGGCCTGTGACCCCGACCATTCTCCGCTTGCTCCCCCTGTACCTACCTGCCCGATTGATATTGACCCAGCCTGCCTGACGACGCTTGCATTGTATGTACTGTTATCTGTACGTGGTTTGGTTCGTTTGCACTGTGTTATGTTTTAGTATTGCACTGCGTTTATGTTTGTATTGTTAGTGTTAATAAATTATATTGTTTATAACATATCTGAAGTCTGCGTTTCCCTGCGTCAGTCACACACCTCTGGTCATACCCGGGAGCCCTGACAGTTTGAGTGTAACAAGGTGGCTCACGGGGGTAACGCTACATAATCCATGAGTTGAACAAGATGTTCTACAAAAATGATGTGGGCTTACCTAACCTCATCTAAAACACCATGCCAATATCACAAATAATCATTACCCTTTGCTGTCTTTAACAAATATACATAGCTCATTTCCCAATGTTGCATTTTTGAGCATTACCTTTCTCTGAAATTTCTCTGCATTTGGTCACATAACTTCTTAGAACCGCAAAGGAAGTCGATGCAGTGATGGCAGGTCTGTACAGGGCAGATAATGCCCAGCAGATCACTCACTGCTGATGCTGCTCTGATTAAAGTCTAATGTGAGAGTATTTCTATTCAGATCAATTCTCCCAACATATACTGTTTGTACTAGTCCTGGGAGCAAATTCCCCTGCCTTTACTGAACAGAGCTGGGTCACTCACAAGGAGACCTAGGGATATGCCTAGGGCTCAGCAGATGTTCTTGGGCCCATCAGTAGTCTTTGCACTGCTATTAATAGATGTGCTCACCTTACATTTGCATCATCTGTTACAAAACCAGGAAGCCCAAGTGAAACAACCATCAGGCACAGGATATCCACAGGATATCCTCCAGGCAGTTTGGATAAAACACAATACAACATGTAAAACTAGTATATTAGATATACAGTATGTATGATATAAAAACAATATTGAACTCACAAAGGTGGAAGTGACTAGCGCTGTTACAGCCTATGGCAGATGTTGACTAGACATGTTGAGGCTAGCTATCCTGTTGAGGCTAGTTATTGGATCTAATCCCCAGATTACATAGCATTGGCTGCTATGTCTTTAGTTACATCATAAAATGGTCCCCCCCCCCCCCCCCCCCCCCTTTATGTTGCCATCACTGTTCTCTCCTCAAAATTTTAGTCGCCTGGCTGTCATTGTGATTCAATAGCTTTGGTACCTGAAGTCACTGACCTGAAACAAGCGTGCCTTAATTAAGCCCTCAACCGCTCAGCAGCCAAAAGTGAAATAAGTCCTGAGTGATCCATGACCTGCTGTAGGTGTTATGTACACAGGGCTATGGGGTGCTCCTGTAAATCTCCTGTTTGGCTCAGTGCTGGAAATACCAGGTATATTCTTTGGCTCCTGGCGCAAACAGAGTAAGGGGGAAAAAGAAGGAAAGGTAAGTATATACTCTGGAGGATGGTGGATTAAAGCAAACATGTTGCTCTGCCCTGAATGGCAAAGCACAGCTTTGCATTAAAGTGAACTGGCACTTCACCCATAGCAAGTACAGTGATAGGTCTACATTATAGCAAGCAGAGAAACAACCTTATACTTACTTCCCAAACTACAGACTGAGGCCCTAGAAGCTCTTATGTAAATGTGGGATTTCTAAGACTTTGAAACTTTACACAGGGCCAGGTGATTGACTATTCAGGTTCTCCTGGGCAATATTTCCATTAATTCTTCTTTAAATATAATAATGTTCTGGCTGCTTTCTATAGGTTTCACAACCCAAGATAAGGTTATTATGCCCTCCATGCCCACTACCAAACCTGGAGAATTAGGATACCACTTTTTGTCTGGCCAATGGCTGGAGACAGTATTGGCAGATGTGGTGCTACCACTATTATTAAATCTATTAGGGTTGTTTGGCCCACAAATCCCCCCACTGTGTAGGGCGCCAAATTGAATTTCATTTAAATGTTTTATGTTTAAAATGAAAGATGAAATCTGACTGCTAATGAGTTCTTTTTTTCTTTTTGCCAGTTCTGATGAATTGGCATCAATTAGTGTTTTTAGTGAGTAGAGAAGCAGCATTCTCTAAAATGTTTATTGACTTGATTCTGGTCAACCAGGGTAAAAAAAGACATCGTTGCTGCTGAAAATAATTCTTTATTGGAGACTTTAACAGGGACAAAGATTAATAACATGTACGACCAGGAATTTTTTTTCAGCAGGAACTTGGGGGAACTCAGTTCCACCTCTGGTTCTAACCCTCTGCTCCCTGTTCACCACTGTCATTTGTAAACACAGAAGCCCCGCTTCTGTGCTTATAAGGGCAGCTTGCCTCTCCCAGTGACTCCATAGAGCCCTCCCTGCCCTACACTCACCGCGTGGACAAGAAAGATGCAAGTACTAGTGCAGTGTGTTCACGGGCAGGAGGGGGTCGTTGTGTGGTAGGCTGCACCCTCTATGTTCACCATCTCTTCCCCGGTAGATGGATGCTGATGCCCACGGATGAACCTGCTGCAAATAGGATGTGAAGCTGCCTACAGTGAGGGGAGTTTTTTTTTTAAAGTAAAATGTACTGAATCTATGATGGAATTGGAGGAGGGGGAAGATGAGAGCAGTGATAGGGGGTGTGAAGAGTTGGGGGATGGGGGGAGTGGTTCAGAGGTCATAGATGGGAAGGGATAGAAATATGGATGGGATGTGGAAGGACAGATTGGAGTCTAGGATGACACCTAGTATTCTGGCTTGAGAGGTGAGACTGATGGTGGTGTTGTTGGTCTTGACGGAGAAGTCGGGGGGGGGGGGGGCGCAGGCTGGGGGGAAGACTAGGAGCTCAGTTTTGGAAAGATTTAGTTTGAGGAAGTGGAGTAACATCCAATCCAATATGTCGCTCAGTAGGCTAGTGATACGGGCGGAGACTGAAGGGGTGGTGAGGTGAGGGTATAGAGATAGATTTGCATGTCGTTGGCGTAGAGATGGTAGTTGAAGCCGTGGGAGTGTATCAATTGGCCAAGGGAGGAAGTGTAGATGGAGAAGAGAAGGGGCCTGAGGACAGAACCTTGAGGGACCCCAACAGAGAGGGGGAGTGAAGAGGAGGTGGGCAGCGTTATAGGTAACACTGAAGAAGCGCTGTGATAGATAGGAAGAGAGCTAGGAGAGAGCGGTGTCTCTGAGACCAAGAGTGTAGTTTTTTGAGGAGGAGGGGGTGGTCAACCGTGTCGAAAGCTGCAGAGAGGTCGAGGAGTAGGAGCACTGAATAGTGGCCATTAGCTTTGGCGGTTAGCAGGTCGTTGGTGAGTTTGAGTAGGGCAGTTTCGGTGGAGTGTAGGGGACGGAAGCCAGACTATAGGAGATCAAGGAGGGTGTTGTCGTTGAGGTGGGAGCTTAGGCGATTATAGACTAAGAGCTCTAGGAGTTTGGATGTAAATGGCAGCAGGGAGATTGGTCTAAGATTGTTCAGGTCGGTGGGATCCAGGGAGGGTTTTTTAAGTATGGCAGTGATGTGCACGTGCTTTAGAGGGGAGGGGAATGTGCCAGCAGAGAGGGGAAGATTAAAGATGTGAGTGAGGGAGCGTAGGATGGAGGAAGAGGGTGATTGTAGGAGTTGTGAGGGGGACAGGGTCAAGGGGGCAGGTGGTGAGGCGGGCTTCAGAAAAGACCTTAGTGACCTCTTCAGTGGTAGCGAGGTCAAAGGAGTGTTGAGGGGGTTTTAGTGTGAGGAATGCTAGGTGGGGTGGAGGTCTGGGCAGTGGCGAGGTCGAAGGAGTGGAGTGTTGAGGGGGTTTTAGTGTGAGGGATGCTAGGTGGGGTGGAAGTCTGAGCAGTGGCGATGTCCCTACGAATTGCATCGATCTTGTTTTTGAAGTGGTTAGCAATCTCGTGGGCGGTGAGTGAGGTACTGGGTGGAGGTGGGAGCGGAAAGGTAGAGAGTTAAAAGTAGGGAAGAGCCAGCGAGGACTAGAGGAGAAGATATTAATGAGGGTAACAAAGTAGGCTTGCTTGGCAGCGTGAAGGGAGGAAGTGTAGTTAGAAAGCAGATTTATATC